ACTTCTTAGGAGCGACGGCCAATAACTTCGTGGGCTTCGACCTTTACCAACTTCGTTGCTCGAGATATGAAATAGGTGACAATAACTTCTGGGTGTAATAACTTCGTGCTTAACTAACTTCTATCACTAACACAACAACCAGAGATCGTCAAAGATCTCTGGGAACTTCGGCCCTTAAGTACTTCCTCCTTCCCTAACTTCGTCAACGCTGAACTTCGTTCAACCCGGCGTCCCGAGCTTCGTACCTCGCGAACTTCGTCCCCGACGAAGTTCGTGCCTTCCTAACTTCGTATCCTCCTAACTTCGTATCTCCCTAACTTCGTATCTTCCTAACTTCGTATCCCCCTATCTTCCTACATGACTAACTTCGTCCTCGACGAAGTTAGCCTCCTAATACCCTCGTGGGTGGTGAAGTTCATGCGAACTGGGTCGTTGATGGCGAACTGATGTCCAAAGGAACTTCGTTTGATGGGGAAGGGTAATGTCACGCGGCGCCGCGTGACAGTCGCCCCCTCCTTGAGCGCGAACGTCCTCGTGAGCGAACATCAACGCCAAAAGGAACAAAATAACTCAGCATGAAGTTCGGTTCTCACCCTTCTCCTCAAACCAACTTCCTGACAACGTAATTCCCGTAATGAAATTCCAGGAAAATCTGAAACCTCCTTTGGCCACGACGCCGTCCTCACAACAAGATCGCTATATCTCGAACTTTGTAATTTGACTTGTAGTCATTGAAAAATCGTGGGGGAAATTCGTATGTGACAAGAAGATATGACAATGATAGAAGAATTTTATGTATGGGAACTGGGAACCAATAACCTGTTCGTGAGTGCAGTATCCATGAGTGTAAGTACGGAACTCCTTAGCCTGAAAATTTTCTGTCGTATCCAGGGATCTTCGTGGTATCCTGGTCTCCATGAAACACGACGTTGACGACGGCAACGCCCTTATCTGTTGTCAACAGCAACGAGTTTCCCTTTATACTCAGTAAGTTGACGAACTTCCCCCCCAACTTCTTCAATTCTAACCCTCTTCTTACATCTCAACCAACCCTCCCACTAAATTTATCTCTTCATACACACCATGGCCCCGTCTACCCCCCGAAAACTCGTCAAATCTCCTCCTCCCAGCGTCGCTCGAAGGACTCGAAGTAGTGAGTTTGAATAGCCTGAGAGTTTCGTCGAAGAGTTTCGTATCATGGCTGATGTTAGTGTCCCGGGTTCAGTCTCCCCCTCCTGCTCCTCCTTCGTCCTTCGTCCGCCGCCTTGCCAGTTCGGCTGGCCTCCGTCTCTCTTCCTTGTCGGCTGCTCTCCCTTCGCTGTCGGCACCTTCCTCTTCTTCCGCGCCTGCCGCTCCCGT